TGGACCCCCACTGCAGTCTCCGCTGCCCCATCTTCATCTTCCCACCGCTCAGAGCTGTGAACACACAACTCAAGATGATGCATGGTTCTCAGCATCTTTGTGGCCAGAGGTGGAGGAGACACAGGAAGCTTGTAAAGGCTGGCACTGTGGGCCTCAGAGGTTTTTCCTCCTGGCCACCGTCCTTCCACCGGAATGTCCCGTACCAGGACACAGCCCACTGTGGGGGTGGTGACTGTCCCATATGAGATCAGTCTGCGATTATATCCAGACCCAGAATCAGGCCACAGCCGCTGCCCTTGTCTTCCTTCCCGGGGATCCCGGGTGGCACTCGGCAGTGTGCTCAGCTGCCGTGTTGCAGATGGAGGTGACTTCTGGGCCTGTGCACCTGGGCCTGTTCTCCTCTGTGTCAGTGCAGCACCTGGCGATAAAGCAGTCATTGTAGGGGAATGAAAACATCATCATTGGCCATTGCCTAGCTGTGCAGCCTCCATAACTTTACCGTTATTCCAGGCCTTGGCATGTGTATCAGGAAAAGGTGCGGTAGATGCTGTGAAGCTATTTGGCTGAGGAAAGTTCTTTTCCTACTACAGTGCTCTGTGCATGTCAAGGACATGCGTGAATATTGGCCATCATTAGTGTGGACAAATTCCAGCTCACGAGCCAGTAGACTGAAGGATTATTGGTAGCATGGTGAATGGCTTTGCTGTCACTCATGTCATCAGCTTTGGTGCTATCACAGTAGACAGACCCATGGCTTAGATAGTGGGGGCTAGGAAGTCCTAGGTCTGCACTGGGAGGTCTCGTGCCTGCTGAGGGCCACATCCAGGTGGCCAAGTAAGTCTCATGGTTTGGAAGGCAATTGCCTCTCCTGTCCTCAAAGGAGGTCACTGACCTCAACCTCGGAGCTCTGTCCTCCTGGCCCACACCCTCAGGAAGGGTTCACCTCCAAATGCCATAATGCTGCAGTGAAAGCTTCATGTAGGGTCTGAGGGGTACAGATGTCCCTAAGTGTCACCATATTACTGCTTTTTATATTGCAGTTTTGAAGAAAAATGGGAGAAGTTTGTTTAAGGCATGAGCATTAGAATCAAATCCATTTGCAGTTTGCTAGGATGTGCTGTGAGACAGAGGATAGAAGCTGCTGTGCCCAGCTGCGATAGAGCAGTGCTGTGCCGTGTTGTATTGTGTTGATTTGGCTTTAGAGACAAAGTCTTGCTATGTAGTTCAGGCTGAGCTTGAACTCATTGTGTAGCCCAGACTGGCTTCAAACTCATGGCGACCTGCCTGCCTCAGCTTCCCAAATGCTGGAATTATGGGTGTGCACTAGCATGTTGGACTGAGCTGGATTTTTGTATGTGTGCTGCCAAAGTGAGCATGAGCTGGGTTTTTTTTCCTTTTTCTTTCTTTTTTGGGGGGAGTACTGGGGATCAAACTCTTAACCTCGCATGCTCGCGCTTGCCAGGCAGTTGCTTATGCTGCTGAACTAAATCCCTAGCCCCCACGAGCTGGATTTTAACACACAGTTGCTTTTGGAATTTTTTTTATCTGAAGCTGTCTTGTCCTGATTCCTTCCTGTGGCCCCAGATCTTAGGTAGATCATGACCAGCTTTTTCTGAGTTCCACATAAGCACTAGAGAGGACATAGAAACATTTTCTGAAATGAGGTGTAAGACTCAGTGCTGGACACCAAAAACTTTGCATCCAGGTGCGCGTTGGTGAGATGGCCAGGCGTGGGGTGACACAACTGCCCTGGGCCATGGGGCCTCTTCACAAAACCAAGGCACTTGCTCAGGTGGCTTCCTACCCTGGTGTTCAGGGCGGCTGATTTGTAGTTGAGTGCATTGTCATTCATAGCACAGGAAGGAAAGGCAAAATTATCCTCATGCCTCTGCTCTCAGTACCGGTGTCTGCGAAGCCACTGAGTTCTGCTGGTTCTAGAATTAGCTTTGAGACCGACCTGGGGCTTTTAATTAAATGGCTTTGTGAGTCAGCGAATTCGTGGTTTCCTGTGAGATCTTTGGGGAGACACAAAGGCAGGTCCCCTTCTGTCCTCCAGGCCTTAGAAATCAGCTGCCTCCTAGGGTGAGGGCAGGCTCTCCCTGGGGACTTCAGGAGCCCAGCTTAGTACAGCGGGGGTACCTGTCACTATCTTCTCATGTGGCCTCCTTGATTTTTGCCGTCTCCCTAAGCTTGCTGTTTCCCATCCAACCCTCTCTCCACTTTGGGTGTTTTGTACTAGTTGTGTTTGTGGTTCCCAGTGGCACAGGAATATAAGGATTGCCTTTCAAAAGTGGAATTGAGTGTTAAAAGCCAGGCTGACGGCTGTGTGTCTTTAACAGTTGGGTCCTGAGAGGGGAGTGTAGGGAGCCTCGCCTTTCAAGGTGTTTCAGCTCCTGCTAGAAAGCTGAATACCATCTAACATTGCCCTTCTGACCACTGCCTGGGGTTTTCCGACTGCTGGCTGTTTAACCTGAGTCTGCAGGCCTGGAATTTCACACCATTCCTTCCTGGCGCTGCTTCCAGAGGAGGCAAAGTTGCACTTGGTAGATTCGCTGCTTAGTGTGGGTGAGAACATGCTGCCATGTGCCTTGCCGTGTCACCTACACCTGTTCTCCCCACCCACTGCTGGACACCTACAGTGTGGCCAGGGCCATGTGCTAGGGCAAGAGCTCAAACACTCACACCATCGTAGTATGTGTTACAATGGCCCAATTGTCCCCCAGCATTGTGCCAGCAGACCCCAGTTCCTTTAGGGGGGTGCTGTTTTAGACAGGGTCTTGCTACAGGGTATCCTTCAACTCACTACATAGCCTGGCTGGCCTTGAACCTGTGGTAGTTCTCCTGCCTCAGCCTCCTTTGTGGGATATGCTGGGACTACAGGTGTATACCACTGCCTGTGGCTCCCAGTTCATCATTCTTTTCCTCCTGGATGACGGTGTGTTCAAGCACCTCGACTGAGCCACTGTGCTAGGCTATCTTTGTACCAGGGCATCTCACCCTTGGTGCCACTGTCATTTGGGACACAGTGACATTTGCATGGGACCCTGTGTACATGGTAGGACATTCAACAGCACCTGGGCGGCGATGACCCAGGAAGTCTGCAGACAGTGGTCCAAGTCTCCTCATGGCTATGCAGTTACCAAAATGCCCTTGTGTCCTTTCTGGAGGAGACCTGGGGTCAGAAAGCAACTTGCCCGGTTGGCACTGCACATTGGGGACAATGCTGAAGCCATTCTGTAGGTCTTTGTGTTCTCACAGATCCATCCCAGGCTATGCTGGTACATGGTTAATAATGGGTTCTCTGGGATGAACCTACACAGGATGGCACTGGCCAGGGCGTGTACCCATTTCTGTGGTTATGACTGATGACAGCCTGCTCAAGAGACCTCACAAGATTCAGGCATCTGGTCCCACTGAGCTTGTGCTTTGTGATCCTAGGGACCTTGTGTGGTTTGTTGACCCCTTGAGCTCACTGTCTTCTGGAACTTGGTCTCCACCCCAAACCCAAAGCGAAACACTTGTCTACCAGAATGCACTGTTGGAGAGACAGCAGTCTGCTGAGGGTTTTTGGTCCCCTCTTTTTGGGGCGAGAGGTAACAGAAATTGAACTCAGGACTTTGCGCTTGCCAGGCAGTTGCTGTGCCACTGAGCTGTATCCCCAGCCCCTGATCCCCTCTTAACATCATGTAGAGCAGTGAGTGTGCCGCTGTCTGTCACGTTTGTTAAGTGACAATTTCTTTTCAGTCTTTCCACTGTGGGGTTGTGGAAGTGGTGTGACGGGTCTGGTCTAGGAGCAGAAGACTTGAGATGCCCGCTGGGCTGCAGGCCCTTGAAGGCAGGTTGAGCTCTGGGGCAGGGACCGGATGCCTTGGTCAGGGTCTGAAGCAGCAAGTGTGAGCCCCAGGGGTGGACAGCGGGCTGCTGGATCTGCTGCTCTGGGCCACAGCAGAAGGGTCAGAGCCAGAGTGCAAGTCCAGATAGGAGCCATGACCGCTGTGAACCTTGCTTTCTGCCTCTGTGGAAAGAGGTAGCAACCCAGCTTCAGTGTAAGGAAAAGTGCATAGGAAGTGTCTTCTTCCTGGGCCTCAGATGCCTCCTTCGCTGCTGTGGCTGCACAGGCTGGCTGCTCTTGTGATAGAGAGCTCATAACCCCAGGACTTAGCTGTTCTTGGCTTTGTCACCACAGTGCCCAGGATCCTAGTCACCTCCTCTGTGAGACTCCTGGGAGGGCCTGGGGCTGACCCAGAGGAAGACCCTGCAGCCATTCTGCGTAGCAGTCTTGGCGTGGCTTCCTTGTGCATCCTTGGAGAGCAGCTGGGTATGACTGCAATGTGAGGAGCCCAGGAAACAGCTGGGAAGGTGGCGTGTGTGTCGATGTATCCTGGGGGTGGGCAGTCTGGAAGAGGCTTGCTCAGGAAGGAGACACCGTCAGGTATGTGAAAGTGCATGGGCTAGGAGGAGCAAAAAGAGTTCAGAGGTTGCTTGACAGCCCCGGCCAGCTCCAAGGCTCAAATGCCCAGTGGGGCAGACAGCAAGTGCTGTGTGAGCTCAGAAGGGTAGAGATCAGTGTGTATGTACTGTGATGTCCACAGTATCAGAGAAGGCTTCATGGAGGAAGTGACCGCTAGCCTGGAAGGACGGTAGAGAGGGTGGAGGTTGAGGCTGGCTACAGGAGGGGTCACAGGACAAGAAAGATACAAGCTGAGGGTTCACATGGAAGACGGATCTTAGTACGGACTTGTTAGGGAGGGATTGGGGTGCCTGGCTCAGAAATTCGGGTTCTGCTGGAAGGCCATGGGTTTCACGTAGAGTGCAACTTCTTGTTGTCCATCTCGGCCATTGGATCCATGCCAGTTCTTTTGACCACTGTTCCCATTCCCTTTATCCTGTGACAAGCTGCAGGGTGCCTGGGACCCTGCCACAGCTCTGTGCCACTGGCAGGCAGATGCTGGGGCTGTGAGCCCTGAGTGCTAACCTTGTGACTCCAACTTGACTTGCAGCTGGGAGCCAAGGAGTGCAGCTGTGTACATCTGGAGCTCTGAGCTGTGTCTGTCACAGGAGGCCAGCGTGATCTCGCTCAGCACCAGGGATAAGCCAGCACCCAACTGTCGCAGGTAAGCTGTTGTCTTTGACTCTGGCCTATTCACTTAAAGTAGTAAGCAGGTTCCGTTTCCCCTATCCCTGATTTGTGAGTGACTGAAGCTCACAGGAGAAATCGGAGACTGAGGAGCTCAAAACCAGGTATGATGGTGCACACCTGTAATCCCAGCACTTGGGAGGCTGAGGCAGGAGGGTTGCTAAGAGTTCAAGGCCAGCCTGGGCTACATAATGAGACTCTGTCTCAAAAAATAAAACACTTTATTGTACCAAGAGACAGTTGCCATGAATCACCCCTAAAACCTCTGCCTCTCTTCACACACCCTCATCCCCTCATCCTTGCCAATTCCTCAGCAGTTCTGGAGTCCACTTTCCTGAGCGTCTTTTGCTGTGCTGTGCTGGCTGCCTCCATGTCCTGAATGGATTCAAAATGTTCCCTTTTCCTGGTAATTTTGACTTTGGGGACGGGCCAGGAGTCAGATCTCATGACTAAAGTAGATGAGGACACAGTGTCAAGTTTTTACTGTGGCAGCAGTCACTGTATTTCTGAGCACACCTTACAAAGACCCTCAAGAAAGAGGTGCTGATACTCAGCTCCAGAGCTGCTGCAGGCAGTGGCAAGAACAAAGGGATGAGTGTGTTGGAAGCAGTGTGTCTCCTCCTGTAACAGATGATTTAAAAATGAAGTAGTCACCACATTTTGTGATCATACTTCGTAGGTGCTGGGTAGTGTAGTGACCCTTCTTCATAATGTACTGAGAAGGCCACCACTTACCTTCCCTTGGAGGTCTTGTGAAGTCCACAAGCTCAGGCTCTTCCTGCAGCCTGTCTTCCCCCTGAGCTTACAAAGCATTCAACACACCAGCCCCCTGCCCACTGCTCCAAGGCCCTGTGCAGCCCGACACCAGCCTTTTTCTACCCACTGTGTCTTCAGCACCCCTCTCCTTTTCCCCCAGTCACACTGAGCTGATCACTGCCCTCAAAGAAGCCAAATTTTACAAATTAAACACTCAGCACCTCTCATCCGTGCGGCCTAGGCAGCATTCTCTGTGAGTGAGGTGTGGCTTCCCCTGCTAAAAACGTTTTCATGCCTTGATAGACATCAAAGAGGAACACACATAGTTATGGTACTGGGAAGAGAAAGCGCAGAGGGAACAGCTGGTGCGTGTCTCCACATGTCCTGCATCTGGCTGAAATTTCTTTCAAAGGGCAGCGAACAGCACTTGAGAAGGGTCTCACAGCCCAGTCAAGCCAAGGTCAGGGTGACCCAGGCTCCTGGAAAGCACCAGCTACATCTTTAACCAGGTTGTCAGTCTGTCTGTCTCTCCGAGTCACCCCTGGCCCCTGTCTGTGAGACGTGGGCAATGGGGGCACTGCTTCTGCCAGGATGGTCAAGCTCAGGGTGGAGCGCGGTGGCCACTTGCTGCTCAACTCCTCCATTGGCCCCAAGCTCAGTGCTCAGCCTTCTTCAGAATAGCAGCATAACCACAGTCGCTGTCGCCGTACCGAGCCAGGGTCACTCACAGGTCTTCAGGGTACTCCTGGGCCGGCTCCCACCACAAGCTCCCAGCACAAGTGGCTGCAAAACCTGCTTGTCCCTGCTCTCCCACTCATTTGCTAGGTGGCACTGCCCAAGTCCTTCTGCTTGTCTTATTCTCAGGTATTACCTCAGTAACACCAATGATGCACGCCTGTGTTGATAGCACAACTCATGATAGCTAAATGCTGGGATCGGCCTGGGTGCATGTCAGCAGATGACTGGATGGAGAAAGTGTGGTGTGTACACCCCAGGGAGAACTACTCTGCCATAAAGAAACATGCACTCGAGTCACTTACAGCAAAGCAGGTGCATTAAGACCATAATGCTAAGTGAAATAAAGCAGATAGAGAAGCTTAAACAGTGCATGGCTTTTCTTATATGAGACACCCAAAATATAGATAATTTAAAGAGCAAAATAAAAGGGAAATAGTAGGAAGCTCCTGTGCATCCCAGACAGAGACCAATCTTAAAGACAGAAGCGATGACAGTGGTTACAGTAAGAGCTTCAGGGGTTGCATGGCAGCTCTCCAGAAGGGAAGTCCGTGCTGATCTCCAGAGAGGTCTTGCCTGTTTACCCGAGGCTGCCATTTGCAAAAGCGTCTCTGCAGGAGGTAAAAAGCTCACTGCTCAGCCTCAGTGAAGCCCCAGAGCTTGGTGGCACAGAGTGGGGGCTGCTCGGGACTCAGTGGGGGCTTTCCTGGGCCTCGAGAACCCCTAGGCTAGAGCCTTGTGATGCTTCACGACCGAGTAAGTGCACAAGACAGCGCCTTTCGAGCCCGGGTGGGCGCCTGCTGCTTTCTCACCAGTGTTTCACTTTGCCTGCATTGTGTGCAAGTCAGATTGCAGACCGATTTCCTGGTTGCTGAAGAACAGCAAGTTCTTTCTTCTCTTGGCCTGTCATTCTTAGGGAGCAGAGTCTTATGGAAGAAGTAAAATGAAAGCGGGCTTTAAGAACTGCCTCTTTCCTTCCAGGACTAGTGAGGCCACAGAAGCTGCAGCTGCACCCCCTCAAGGCGTGGCACGCACCCCCAGGCCAAGGACACAGCTAGGCCATGGGGCCTTGCATCCCTGCAATGAGCTGCGTGCTCATCCTCAGCCCTGCCCAAGGGCTGGCACGGTGGCTTCAGGCCATCTCCAGTAGGATGGCTCCAGAGCCATCACTCTAGGGAGTTAATTGATCATCAGAGAGCCTGGTTTAGTTTCTGGGGTGCCAGCCTTCTCATATTTCTCACTGGAACTGTCCCCACTCTGTCATCCCATCACACGTGCCTGCCTCATGCTCAGGGCACAGCCAGTGAGGTCTCGAGTCTCCGGGAATTCAGAGGCAGTGGCAGAGGAAGCGTGGTATGGGCACAAGGTAGGAAACGTCTGTGGAGTTGCAGTGTAACTGGACATAAGAGGAGCCAGGCCCGTGGGGCCCCAGATGACATCTGGGGGCCCCAAGTGCATGGGTCTATCCTAGTTTCTGCCTCTGTGCCAGCCCTGCTTTGAATAAGTAGGGCCTCTTTTCCCTCCCAAGTGTGCAAGTGTGGGTGACAAATCCAAAAGTCACCCGAAGTCTACGTGACTGTGTTCATGGGAGTGGTGACCAGTGCCCCAGAAATGTGCAGAATGGGTTTTGGTGAATGCTGCCTGAGTGCGCTGACTACTCAGAGCTTCACTGTTTCACAGCAGTGTGGCTGAGAGGTGCGATCAGGGGCTGAAATGTCAGGTACATGGTGGCAAAGAGCCTTTCTTGTAGCTTTTGACCTTTACGAATTTGCTCAGCTGGTCTCGCCTGTAAATTAGGCGCAGTCATACAGGCACTGGGCATTCCCACCAGGTAGTGGTAGATGAACAACTCACGATTGGTATCCATTATTCCAGGATACTTGCTGACACAGGGCAACCTCCCCAGGAGGCTGGCACTCCGGGGAGGTGTGCTCTGCTAGCTTTGCCAGCCCAGCTACCCCATCCCAGGCACAGGAGCTGGATTCCCAAGTCTTCACCCTGGTATCACCCAACGCGGCCCTCCTGGGTCAGCTCCTCCCAGGCCCACTCGCTTCATCCTCCCAGGAGCAGGCTGTGCAAAGCTGGAACCTGACTGCTATTTGCTGGTGCTGTTGACACAGGCCATCTTTGATGCACTGGGCACCAGGGACCAAATTCCCTGTCCTGCCTGCCGAGCAGCTCCTGGCTCCCCACTCCTTCTCTACTGGAGAACTGAACTTCCTCTGTTCCTGGACCTTTGGTTTAATCCACCTTATTTCTACCATTTTACTTGTTAATGTAACTGCTTTGAGAGGGAAAATTGAGTACTGGTTAAGACCAGTTTGAGCCAGGTGGCCTAAGTGCACATTGTGACTGCAGTGTTAGAGGAATCATATCAGGATGATATAAGGGAACATGCTGGATGTCTGATATGCCAAGTTCCAATCAAAGAATGCTAAAGGAACAACAGAGTTAACACTTACTGAGGGAAAGAAAGGACTTGTCTAAGAGTCAGGAGGGGACCTGGAAAGTGGGTTTCCCAGGAGCCCACTTCTCAGAGAAAGTTTTATAGAGCACAGTCACAAGGTGGACATAAAATCGCAAGGTGGATATAAGGTAGGACAAAGATTACAAGTCCAGTTGCTTAGCTGTTACTGATCTGAGGGAAAGCTGGTCACAGCAGCCATGCGTGGAAAGCGTGAGAACCTTTCCTAGAAGGGATGGATCAGGAGGTCCTGTTCCCCCTCCCTGGTGACTGATGTCTATTTAGAATATTGATCACTATTGTTTATACTGCAGGGAAGTATGCAGGTATAACTCATTCCATCTTTGTCTTGAGGGGTGGCCTTCCACAAACGCACCTCCACCCACATTTGTGATGTATTCTTGTTTTCCACACTGGCTTCTTCAAGGGTCTAGCCCCTATCTGACTGCATATAATATTTCCACCTAATTTAGCTGCCTATAATAGTAGCACTGCAATGCTGAATCCCCGCTGGGCAAATCTGTAATCTCAGCACTCTGGGAGGTTGAGGCAGGAGAATCACAAGTTCTACCCTTGCCTGATTAACTTAGCAAGACCTCGTCTCAAAATGAAAATCACAGGATAAAAATTAAAAGGGTCTGGGGATATAGTTCAGTGTAGAGGCCTTGGGTTTAGTGCCCAGTATGCAAAAACAAACGAAACACTGAAATGAAATGAAACACTTTGGCCAAGTGATTTAGCCATTGTGTGCCTCAGTTTCTTCATGGGCAAACAGGTGGCACGAATAATGCCTAGTGGGAGTGATGTACCATAGTACGCTTGGGCCTCACCAACTAAAAGCCCAAGCCACCGTCCTTTCTGTGGGGCTCCTGGTTCTGGGGCCCTGGGGCCTTTGGACGAGCTGGTTCCCATGCTGGGCCTGGGACCCTTTATCTGCCAGCCTGGGTCATGGGAATGTGGCTTTTTGGGGCCTTTGCTGCTGTCCTCTCTTGTCTGTCTCACCTTCTCTCCAGTCTGTGCCT